GGGTGGGGTAAATGAATGGTACTGTATATAGAAATCCCGCCTTAATCATGGCAGACCTTTGCCTTTGGTTCAGGGGTTGCTGACTAAAAGCTGCAATTCTGTTCTCAATGCATTTTTAATGTAATTTATTAACTTATTTTTCTTAGCCCTGTTTTAATACTTACTCTTTGGCTTTTTGGCTGAGATCTTGCTCTTCTTTTTAGAAGTCTGATGCCTATTTCAGGAACTAGGAAAAATAGAAATTATTTCAATAGAAAAGCCTGGATTTAATTTTAAAAAGCAATGAGGAATGTGCTTGTTAATTACTCTCTTGTAAGTCTTATCCATTGCTGGCTCAGTGCCACATATGCCAGTGTTAAAGGTGGTTATATAACACATACCTGATAACACATCAGTATGAGTAAGTACTTCAGATATGTTTGCTCTAGGCTAGCCAAAGCGAATGTGGCAGCTTTCAACCTATGTATTTTAGTACACCATTGCCTACTTGTCTCATTCCTGTATCAGTTCCAGAACTGGAAGTCTAGCTCATCTGTGTTCAACGGAAACCCTAATTGAAGTGTGCTCAGCTAGCTGTTAAGCGTCCTTGGGATGAGCTGCCTTGAGGGTCCTGGAGACGCTGCCCACGTGTCTGGTCTGAGTGCTCCACACTTAACTCAGAGCAGTTTGTTTCATAATAAGCATATCATGTAGCCACACATTTTCTGACAAACTATTATTTTCTGTGTATTTTTAACTACCATTGTAGGATCCAAAGGGATAAGTCAAAAATAGTAGATTTCTAAGACAATTTATATTTATTGGTTGCTGAATGAATTGCTCATGATATGCTGTGTGGTAACATTTTAACATATCATGGAGGCATGCTTATCTTAGTGGCGGCGGGTGGGGGGGTGCTGCTGTTGTAAAACCACTTCTGGGATTTGTGTCTTACAAGATTACCATGGTGCTCAGCAACGCTTACCAGGTCCTGCAGAAACCAAGCTGCTGTCTAGACATGGGGCTGATGGGAGCAGAGCGAAGCTCAGTTGCATTTGGCTGCATCACCCATTTGCTGGTAGATGTAAGGCTTAGGTCATTGTAAATACTTTTTCTTGAAAGCTTTAAAGGAGACACAAGGTAGTCTTCATAGTCTTGTTCATCTCTTTGGATGCATTTAGGTCAGGTATGCATCACAATACTTCTGTAACAAGGGGTGTGCATGTGAGTGTGTATAGGGTTGTATGATGTGTATATGTGAATGAGTGTGGGAGTGGGGGGGATATGTGTGTGGTGTGTATGTTGTGTATCTTAGACAAGTTACAGCAATCTGAAATCTGAGTATTTTGTTTTGAAAGTCAAGATCAAGAGGCTCCACTGTCTCCAGGACTGATCTATATTGGAGACAGATAGTACATTAATCAGACATCTGTTTATACTTTAATCAGGGCTGGTCATTTTCAATTATGATTTAACAGTAAACTTTCCAAAAAGTATTTGAAGTAGTTTATGATTGTAAAACACATGTAAAATAGGACATTTTTGAAAAATAACAATTTCTAAGAGAAAGAACTATATCATCACTGCTAGATTGTAAAATTAAGTGTGAAATCTAACTCTGTGGGTAAAGTTAGAAGATAATACTGAGTTAAGTTCTTCTAATAAAACTGCTGGTGTCTAGATTAAATGTGTAGAGCAGCAGTTCTCAACCTGTGGATCAAACAATCCTTTCACAGGGGTTGCATACCAGCTATCCTGCATATCAATATTTATGATTCATAACAGTAGGAAAATTAGTTATGAAGTAGCAGCAAAAGTAATTTTATGCTTGGGGTCATCACAACATGAGGAACTGTGTTAAAGGGACATTAGGAAGGTTGAGACCCACTAGTGTAGAAGAATGCAACAGACCATGCTCAGAAGATGCTAGGTTTCAACCAACAAGTGTACTGTAATATTTTGTGCAATGAACTCTTGATCAAAAGAGTTAATTTTAGAATAACAAGCATTTGTCTGTTTTAGTGGAGAGGATGACTGTAAGGTGATTTGTTTGCTTTATGGCCACCCTGCTCGGAACTGCCTTTCACCTGACATTTTGTAGACGATGTGCTTGAAGATCATATTTCTGAGATGCAGACTAGAGTTGGGTAAGTAAGAACTTAGATGCTAGGTTACTCAGTTCAGCCTTATTTGTCTGAGCACGTGAGACGATGGGAAATACTGACTAAGCACAGTGCTTTAGGGACCAAGCACACAGAGAGCCTTTCAGAAAGAAAAGTTTCTTAGACTGGACAAAGGGCCATGGTTACCTTCTCAGGATGTTTGTGCTTGAAGCTTGAGTTTTCTGGGAAAAGGGGTCCATGGCCTTGACCAAATACTGTGAACCATTGTCTTTTGGAGGTGGTGGTAGATGATAGTATGAAAACAGGGACTCTGCTCATTTTTATTTTGTTGATATCCCAGAGCTAGAAAAATTTGTTTGCTAATTCCCACAAGGTAAAGATCCTGAATGAACACTGTGTCACAGTAATGAATACACTAAAGACATTGCAGACAAGGAAGATTCGAGTTTCTCAGAACTTTAACCTCAGAAAACGTTCACATTAACTAGCAAATTTCAGTTTAGGTGTGCTTGAATTGTTTGGGAGTACTAAAGGACCCACTATGAAAGCAACCATTTTTATTTCTCCCTAACAATTTACTATTGATAGATATATAGTAACACTAAGGAACAAAGACATGTTAGAGCTAAATTAAAAATTTTCGAATTCTAAAAATGGGGAAACTGACATCAACAGAGGCAGAAACTGGTAATGGAATATTTCAAGACAAACACTTTGTTCAGGTAGCTTTGTGTGATAAAGTGGAATTTCATTTGGATAGTGTTTCTTTGGAGCCTCTTTCAAACACACACACGCACGCACGCACGCACGCACACATACGCACCTAACAAGCTTGTTAAATATATTCTTGATGGGACAGGACAATTTTTCGACAGCCACAACCATAACCACTCAAAGCCAGAATATAAATGGTATGGATGGGTACTAAAAAGATGGCTCAGTAATTAATTAAGAGAACTTACTATTCTTGTTGAGGACCTGAGTTCAGTTCGCACGTTAGGTGGTTGCAGCTCCCTAGAACTCTAGCTCCAGGGGATCTGGTGCCCCCTTCTGGAATCCATGAGCACCTGCACTCATTATTAACAGTAAAATAAATTTATATGTTGGAAGCTTAATGATAGGGCCATGAGCTATCTCGCTTCTATTCTGTAATGCCTTAAGAGTCTATAATTATTTCAAAATAAAAGGGTTTTTAAAAGCAAACTTAATAGAGTAAGTTTATCACTACATAACTGTGTCTTAAATTTTAAAACTGCAGACTTAGTATTTAGTTCCAAATGAGAACTCCATTATATCTTGCTAAAATTTTTCATTCTTGAGTTTAAAGAAAAAGAAGCTGGGCTGGTAGTGGTGTACGCTTTTAATCCCAGCACTTGGGAGGCAGAGGCAGGCAGATCTCTGAGAGTTCGAGGTCAGCCTGCTCTACAAAGCTACACAGAGAAACCCTGTCTTGAAAAACCAAAAAGGGAGGGAGGGAGGGAAAAAGCAGCTGTTTTTTTTTTTTTTTTTTAACAAATTGATCTCTGAAGCTCCCTTCTACCTTACTAAAAATGTTCAAGAAAGTTTTTCTAACAGTCTTACACCAAAAACTTGTTTTCCATAAAGTACCAAATGCTTGTGATTTATGTTTCTAGTTTGTGTGTTTTCCCCTATGGCAGCTGGCTTCCTATTTGAGGACAAAATATTTTGAGACCTTTTTCTTTGTGTGATCATTCCTTTTTCCTTGTATTTTTCTCTCTGTATTCACAATGTGGTGCCATGCTCGCTGACACCACCTTCTGTCATGGAAGGTGTGATGTAGCTGTGTACTTCTGCTTTAAGGTCAAGGGAGTCTGGAATTGATTTTGTCTTCTGGTTGTTTTTAGAGTTAAAATCCAGAGCACAGCCACGGCATCATTTAGGATGTGATAACTGTCCTTTGTGTATGTTCTTGGTGGCAAAGAAAAAGTTATGTTTATTTCCCCACTCCTGCTTTTGCTGTTGTTCAGTTGTGCAAAGTTTACATTTATTTCTTAGTGCTTACAAAAACAAATTTAAAGAAATCTATGGTTTCTCTTAGTGCTTACAAAAACAAATTTAAAGAAATCTATGGTTTCGTGAAATAGTAGCTCAGTGGTTTAACCCTGAAGCTTTATTGAAGCTTCATTGGGTTTCAGAATGCTGACTTTTATAATGATGTGAGCTGGGGAGAGCTTTGATTTTAGTTTTTAAGTATTTATAAGGTAGGTTAGCGTAGAAGTTGCTGTTGGGTGTTGTAGTCTCCAGGAGCCTAGGCTACTTGTCTTCCAGTCAGGATTGTAATGATGGAAACAAACAGGGACTCTGGGAATTAAAAGTCTTAAAAAAAATGTTGTTTTGGTTTTTTCCCCAGAAAAGTATTCCATGGATTATTTAAAAGAATTAGCATTCTTGAACAATGATATAATAAAAGGGAAACTTGAGTTGATTGCTTGTGAATAGTAAGGGGTAAGTTGTGATAGAATCTTACCCAAACAGAATAAAATACTTTCCTTAAAGGGAAAACAAAAAGACTCATTATTATTAATTTGAAATTATAAGGTAAAAACATTTAGTTTATGCAAGAGTAGTTTCTAAAAGGATATTTGGCAGAATATATTGTTCTAATAAGTTTGGAAAATTC